TTCAGGCTCCTTAAAATAATAAAGTCCTCCTTCCTGCTCACCCGTACCAATTTCTGTCTTCAAATTCAGATCCTGTAGTATACACTTATTGTTGGCAAAACGTGCCTCACAATTCGAATCCCTTGTCAATTGTGACACAGAGATTAAATGGCAACTCAAAGTGGGGACATATAAAACATCATGTAGAATTAATTTTTCTGTCAAATTAATCTTCCCCGATTGGACAGAAACAATTCTTTTCCCATTGGGCAAACCAATCTCACACGGTGATATTCCCACAACATCATACAATAACGAAATATCACCAGTCATATGATTTGATGCCCCAGTATCTATAATCCACCGCGGTGATACAGGAATACCTGAAAGCTTCAAACTAGAAACACACGATGATAGTGAGAAAAACATTTTCCTTGGTTGTTCATCGGCCATGGCGGTAGCAGAGTGGCGTACGGCGTTGGCGGAAGAATCAACAGCAGCATCAATCAAACAATCTGCCGACGGGACGGTCGACGTGCTCGACCGTTCTAGAGCAACGGTCGACCGTTCCGTTATCCGGCAACAGCAACAACTGACTAAATCTGAGCAACGATCGATGGACGCCATGCCGGGCGATCGTGAACAGTAGTCTAGAAAAATTTCTAGGGTTTTGGCTCTGATACCATGAAAAAATTATTTTGGAGGAAATTTTCTGAATTACTCTCTTGTCTCTACAATTTACAATAAGGACATATATATATAGGATCTCACAAGTTGAGACTCCTAATCAGTAAAGGAAAAGGAAAAGGAAAGAATCTCTATACAAGGAAAACTACCAAAACAATATATACACAAATATCTCCCAATATTCTACCAAATATTGTCTTTCCTTTAACAGAAACTTCTAGATGTTTTGGATCTAAAAGATAGACACCCAACTGCAAAACTTGTCGTAGGTAATTCAGAGGTTGGGATTGAAATGAGACTTAAAAGAATAAAGTATCCTGTTTTGATCTCTGTTAGTCATATTCCTGAACTGAATCAGTTAACCATTGAAAACAGTGGCATAACAATAGGTGCTGCTGTTAAACTCTCACAGCTTTTTAATGTACTAAAATGGGTTTGTAATGAGCGAGATCTGTATGAAACGTCTTCATGTAGAGCTCTAATGGAGCAGATAAAGTGGTTTGCTGGAACACAAATCCGAAATGTTGCATCTGTTGGAGGGAACATCTGCACTGCCAGTCCAATATCAGACTTAAATCCTCTTTGGATGGCTGCTAGAGCAAAACTACAAATCATGGATGTTGAGGTGGGTCCCTCTAAATGGAGGGCCCACATTATCAATAAATAAAAAAAAAAGAAGAAGAATGGGGAAGTCGGCTAGAGAAGAGAAGAAAAACTCAAATTGAGTTTTGTTCTTTTTTTGACCAAATAAGTGGCAGCTTATCTCTTCACAATGGAAAAGGACTATGGCGGCTATTTGGCTAAGGATCAACATGCATGTATGGTTGAGGCGGCACAAGCATATGGCGGCACAAATCCCATGAGGCGGCAAGCTTGTGGCGGTGAAGCTTTTGGCCTATAAAAGGAGATTAAGTCTCCTTTATTTAATTATCCTCTTCATTTGAGCACATCCAACCATGAGAATTCAAGAGAGAGAGAGATTTACTCTATACCAAAACAAATGTTTTGTTTTGAAGAAAAATTGAGAGTAAATGCTTAGGAAATGTTTTCCTAAAAGAAAAGTGAGTGAAAAAGTGTGTGCCTACTATTTGTAATAGTAGAAGAGATTGTACACTTGTACCTACTATTTGTAATAGTAGAAGAAGAAATAGAAGTGTTGTTTTGTGGACGTAGCCCAAAAGTTTTGGGTGAACCACGTTAAATCTCTGGTGTCCTACTTTGCTCTTTATTTTTTACCTCCATATTTTTATTATCTTTCGCTGCGCGACCCCAACAATGGACAGCAAGGGAAATATCAGATGGTCCGTAGCTGAAAATTTCTTCTTGGGTTATCGCAAAGTGGATCTGGCAAGCAATGAAATATTGTTATCTGTGTTTTTACCATGGAGTAGACCATTTGAGTTTGTAAAAGAATTCAAGCAAGCCCACCGGAGGGATGATGATATTGCAATTGTCAATGCAGGGATGCGCATATTTCTTGAAAGAATGAATAAAAAATGGGTTGTTTTAGATGCGTCACTTGTGTTTGGCGGGGTTGCTCCTCTTTCTTTTGCTACATCTAATACGAGAGAATTCTTAATTGGAAAAAGTTGGGTCTATTAGGAAGTATAATTAAATTAGGATACTTCTTTCCTTTCCTACTAGGATTATTCTTTCCTTTCCTACTTGTACTTTGATTACTCTTGTATTCCCTATATATAGGGCCATATCTCTCAATATTCAACAAGACAAGTTATTATCAAATTGTATCATGGTATCGGAGCTAAGGCTCTCAAAAACCTAGCCTCTCTTTTTTTTCCGACCGCCGCCCACCATGGCAGCCCCGTCGGATCCTTTGGCGTCCTTACCCTCCGGAGTAAAACTTTTGCTTCGGAGTCTCCACAACTTAATCCCAGAAAAACTCACCGAAACAAATTATCCGGCATGGTCTCTCAATGTCCAGACAGCTCTTTCAGCTAATCTCCTCCTTGGATGGATTGATGGTCATGAAGCAGCCCCGGCGCCAACTATCTCCAAAAA